ACCCCATCAATGGCCTAAAGTCCAGGAACTCCCTACTGTCTTAATGTTAATTGTTTGCTAGAGGGAAAAACAACCTTAGCTTTGACAATAGTTAGGTTTCCAGCAAGTCTTTAGCATGTGAAATTCTCTTTGGAAACTTCCCTTTTGATTTTACCTACTCCAAGTCCTTGGTATATAACCAGCCATTCCACACAACCCCAGTCCAGCTCTTCCTGCCCACGGGTCCTGTCCCTGTGCTTTAATAAAATCATCTTTTTACACCAAAAACGTCTTCAAGAATTCTTTCTTAGCCATCAGCTCTGAACCCCACAAACCCCACCATCACCCCAAAACTTCATCACCATCACCCTTTGCCCAATATATGCCAATGGCAACATCTTGCAAAACTATAGTACAATATCACAGTCAGTATATCGAGACTGATACAATTAAGTTAAAAATATAGAATACTTATACCATCTAAGGATCTCTCATGTTGCCCTTTTTCGTTTAAAAATTTTTAATGCTTATTTATTTTTGAGAGAGAGACAGACAGACAGACAGACAGACAGAGAATAAGCAGGGGGAGGGCAGAGAAAGAGAAGGAGATACAGAATCTGAAGCTGGCTCCATAGTCCAAGCTGTCAGTACAGAGCCCCACACAGGGCTTGAACCATAAACCGCGAGATCATCACCTGAGCCAAAATCAGACACTTGAGCCATCCAGGCACCCCTCATGTTGCCCTTTTATAGCCACATTCACTTCCATCTTGGCCTCATGTACTTCTTAAACCGTGGCCACTACTGTCCCCATTTCTATAATTTTGCCACTCAATAATGTTATATAAATAGAATCAAACAAAATATAGCTTTGGGGGACTGGCTTTTTTTACTCAGTATAATTCTCTGGAGAGTCACCTAGTTGTTGTGAGAATCAATGTTTTCTTTGTACTGTTGAGTAGCGTTCCATGGTATGGACGTTTGTGTAACCATTCACCTACTACAGTCTTGTTTCAATAAGCCATCCAGGTCATTCTGATGCATGTTTGTTTTTGAGAACCACTGATATCTAGAAAAAGAACTTAAAAAGACAGGGAAAAAATAAGGTGTTTTTGTACTTCTCCTTCCTACTCACTGACCTTGTGGGTCTCCTCTCATCTTCACCACTACTGTTATCACAGCACTCTGTATCCTGCTTATTACTGCTATGCATTTCTTAAGGGAATGATGTATTTATTTAAGAAATATTTATTGTGATACCTCCTACTAACTGTTCCAGGCACCAGGAAAACAGCAGTGGACAAGGTATACAGGTCTCTGCTCATGAAAAATTTTCAGGACAGTGAGGCCAAAGGAGACAATAAACAAAGTCAGGTCAAAATAAATGCCATCTGCTTAAACCCCAACCAACCCAATGTGGCCCTCTTGAACACAAGTAACACTCCATCAAGAGCACTTGGATTCTGATGGGCCCATCCAATACATGTCTAAACGTACCAGTCACTATGGAAAGAAAGATTTTGTACTAAGAACTTTATGTTAGCTGAGAAAGAAGATACTCAGGAAAATATTATTCATAATAGCAAAATACTGGAGATACTCCAAATATTCAATAATAGGGAAATACTTATGCAAATGGTAGCAGACCCACTCTAGAGCAGATGGAGTCATTAAATTAATGATTACTCAGACCAAGTAATATCATGAAAATAGCTGTGTTTAATATTACATAGAAAAAAATCAAGATACTGAACTGTATACACTATATAATTCTAATATTTTACAAAGGAAGAAAAATTAAATGTCAGACAAATGGGTGAAAAAATTTTGGAAGAATATAATTATGACTATCTTAGGATACTGAGTTCACAGGTGCCTTTTTTTTGAACTCTCTAATTTTCACTAAATTTCATTATCTTTGAACTTATTTATATGCATATGTACAAACAGTTTAAAATATTCATAAATGTTGTTGACATTCTGACATGCTAGTTACTTGTGTATCTTTAGACTCAGAGAAGAAAAGCTATGAGAGCAATAGAGCCACTTTCCACCATATTTATTTCAATAGACCTGGATGGACATAGTGAAAAAAAAGATTCTTCAGAGTCTTCCCAGTGCACTAGTGCCTAGTTGTATTAAGCAATATGCCTCTTACGTTATGAAAATCTCCTGGCGAAATCAGAGTCTCCTGGTGTCCCCAGAAATTTTGCATAATATCACAGCTTCACAAGAAAATAAGAAATAGCAGAAGGATGACCCAGTAGGAGTCACGTCCCACAAATGACTATGCAAAATCCTCTTAGCTCTGTCAAGGGAATGGGTATATTCCTGTCGATAACCATGGCAAGAATCAAAATTCGTTAGCCAAAAATAGATGGGAAAGGCCTAGTTATACACATTTGTGGTATTCTAAAATGTCTTTTAGAGTCCTTTTATGGAACTGTTTTAAATAAAAAAATTTCATCCACAACTAGAATGAAAATTTCACTATAGAAAATGATTTTGGTTGATCTGGAAAGTGTACATGACAGTGTCATAACTTTGTAGTATCTTGGCTTTATTACCAAGGTTGAACTCATGGGGAAATGAACCCAAGACAAACAAGAAATATGCTGCTGTGATGGTTAATTTTATGTAACAACTGGACTAGGCTAAGAAATGCCCAGATAGCAGGTTAAACATGATTTTGGGTGTATATATGAGGATGTTTCTGGAAGAGATTAGCATGTGACTCAGTAGACTAAGCAAAGAAGATCCACCCTCATCAATGTGGGCAAGCATCATCCAACCCATTAAGGGTTCGAAGGGAACAAAAAAGGTGGAGAAAGGGTGAATTCTCTCTCTTCTTGAGCCATAACATCTGCCTTTTCCTCCTGCCCTTCGACATCAGAGCTCCTGATACTGAGACCTTCAGACCCTAGAGCTTAAACTAGGGGTCTTTCAAGCTCTCTGGCCTTTGCCCTTGGTTTAGGAGTTCACCATTGGCTACCCTAGTTTCCAGGCCTTCAGATTGATACTGACTCATACCACTGGCTTTCCTCATTCTCCAGCTTGCAGATGGCAATCAGAAGAACCTTCACAGTCACATGAATTGGTTCCCACAATAAATGTCTTCCTATATATCTATATATCTCCTATTGGTTCTGTTTCTCTAGAGAATCCTGACTAGCACAACTGCCTACATGTATGCGTAGTTTTCAGTGTTCAATAACAAAGTTAATAATCAGCAGATAATAAAGAAAGACAAATGAGGAAATCTGAAAAAAATACGAATAATTCTTTAACATCATCCTCAGCACTCATAACAAAATGACGTATTTAAATCTTGGTACAGAAAAAAATTCAAAACACTCATGAAGTTCATAGTCTATCCGAGGCTGTGTGCTACGGGAAAGGAGCAATAATCAAGGAACTTATTGAACATATGGATGCTGATTTACATGGAAGAGTCATGGAAAGGACAAGAAGCAAAGGCTGATCCTGGCTACAAGAACCAGTCAGAAACCAGACTCTTCAATCCTTCATCTCTGCAAAATCTTCCTCATGTGTGTTATAGAAAGCAAGTCTCAAAGCGCTCCAGCTTTTGCTCCTGCTGCTTTAACAACTGCTCCCTCCCAGCCTGCCCTCCTTGCTCTGTCTCACCAGTGGGGCTAGAGAGTCTAGGATACGGGAAGAACCACCAAACTGATATTTGATTGATTATACATGTATATGAACAATAGGTATTTTTAAACTTCTGTTCCTACAACCAGATTGCATTGGAGATTAGAGATTTTCTGTTTGAACTCTCTAGTATAGCTATAGCATAATTATGAATAACACAGTAACAGCTAACATTTATTAATCACTTATAAATGCCAAGAACTGTCTTAAGTACTTCACACTATTTCAACTATCACAATTACTATCATTGTGTGCATTTTGATGTTGATACCATCATTTTCTCCATTTTACAAATAAGGAAGTTGAGATTTAGGAAGATTAAACCACTTGTTCAGAATCTCAGAGAGATACTGGGTGGGGGTGAGATACAGGGTGACAGTGGGGAAAGAATTCAAACCGAGGGCCTCTAAGCTTGAGCCAATGTATTTTACTATCTAGAAGACTCCTTGGAGAACTTTGATTAAAGCTTTCAAAAACTTCCTCTGATATTCAAATTAAATTATTAACTCCAATTAAGAGAGGAGGAAATCTGCCTTAGTCCTTGCTGGTTTGACCAGCTCAGGCTGGTGTGTGAGTCTCTTTCCTAGAGCCTGGTTGAAGATAAAACCAGAACCATTAAATGCATTACATTAGCAGACCCTGTAAACCAGAGCTGGGGACTGGATTGTATATTTTCTGTGTGTAGACAAGAGGGACAAATATGTGCTTAAAGTTTCAAGGATGGGGCAAATAGCAAAACGACAGTGCAGGTATCATTCTCCTATGCTGTCTGGTCCAAGGGAAGGTGCTTTGACTTTGTAAAATGGAAATGACCTTGCCATTGTGAAAGAAACACCCAACATGAAACTAAAAACAGGTCTAGACTCCATTGTTCTCCATTAGAACAAAACCTCAGCTGTCAAAAACCATCTCCAGATTGCATAAAGTTCTCCAAAATCTTTTGGGGTAAACAATAATAAATGATCGGGGCCACAAGTGAGTTTGCCATTCAATTTTGCAGTACCAGAAAATGTACATCCACAGTGGGGTTTACCTGATGAGTAATATAGTAATGTTTAAAAAGAAGGAAGCAGTAATATTGATATTGCTACGTATAAAACATTTTAACATTGTTTAGACATCACTTCCTAAAAACTCTAAGAATGGTTATGAGTAGATGTACTCAAATTTGAAGAAATACTATTGCTTTTTTTATAGTCATATATATAGAGTCAGTTTGTTACTATGGAATCACATATGATGTCATAAATTTGACATTCTAAGCGCAAACCTAGGCAGAGCAACAGAAACAACAGGAAATGGAGCTGGGGAGAGGAAAACCTGCGTAACAACAAAAGAAATTCCAGTTAAAAGAAATGAGTCAAACATCTCTGAAACAGAAAAAGAAGGTGAGTGAGTTGAATGTCCTAGAATCTTGCCAAAGAGCTAAGGAAATGTAGATATCAACAAATGTAGATAGCATTACCTCTGGGAATGTTCTGCAACAATTAAATCATTTCAGATAATGACTGCATGTGGAGAAAAGGGAAGGAAAATAAAGGAAATGAAGAATGGAGAAGAATGAGATTAGAGCATACAGTAGCAATCAATTGAATTATTTAGCCTTTATTGGGCTGACGCTCCTATGTCAGTGGCAAGAGGTGGAAACACTGTTGCTATCTGTGAAGAATGCACAGCCTAGTAGGAAAGAGAATATATAAACAAAATACAATTCAGTGCTCAGTGAAAATATGTATAAAAGACACAGGCAACATAAAAGAATGTTTAACTCTGGGAACTTCTCCCAGGTCATGCTGAGCTGGGTTTTGAAGAACATTAAAGAGAAGAGGAGGTTACAAGGAAACAGGGTGATATGGAGGCAAATGCAAGTCATTTAGCACAAGCAAACACAGAGATAAAAGTGTACGGTGGAGGGCGAGTTGGAGGCGGGCAGGATGCACCATGAGGCTCCTGGTCTGTAAAACCAAGCAAATGAAGGGTGTACCTGGAAATGAAGCATAATTAGATTTATGTTTGATAAAGGTCACTTTAAATTGATGGGGTAGATCTAGAAGTTGGGAGGATTTAAAGTTATGAAACCTGATCAAAAGTCTATAATTCTGAGAATGCAGTCCTATACCGATCTGAGATCTGGAACAAGGCAATGATACTAGGGATAGAGACGAAGGATTGGGTTTAAAATATCTTTTGACGGGATTTTAGGGTGGTGCTGTGGAGAATGGCTAGGAGGATTTTAAGATCAGTTCTAGGACCACACAGCTCTGCCATGCTCTGCAGTCACAGTCTCCATCATTCAACTAACACAGATGCACAAAGAGCTTTATGCCTAGACTGCGCCTGAGTACCGTGGTCTAAGCTAGAAGATGAGCTCTTAAAACAGAAATAATGCTAATCTTGATTGCATTACAGCTGCCGAATTAGTATGAAACAATACAAACACACACAATGGTATGTTCCGCAATTGAAAATGAAAATATTTGACTAGCTGTCCATGACATGAATTATCTCCCTGTGCTCTCCTACACAGACTTCCCTACAAGTTTGTTAATTAAGAAATGTCCATCCTTTCACTGTAGCTGGTATGAGTAATTAGAAAATATGTACTGAAGACAGGTCGGTCATTAGATCTGCATGGGATTAAGAACCTTGATTTTAAAAATCAAGCTAGGGGCGCCTGGGTGGCGCAGTCGGTTAAGCGTCCGACTTCAGCCAGGTCACGATCTCGCGGTCCGTGAGTTCGAGCCCCGCGTCGGGCTCTGGGCTGATGGCTCAGAGCCTGGAGCCTGTTTCCGATTCTGTGTCTCCCTCTCTCTCTGCCCCTCCCCCGTTCATGCTCTGTCTCTCTCTGTCCCAAAAATAAATAAACGTTGAAAAAAAAATAAAAAAAAAAATAAAAAAATAAAAATCAAGCTAATATTGGTGAGGCTTAGATGCACAGAAGATTGGAGTTCTGGTTTGTTAAGAAAACAAACAAGAGAAGTTTTAATTCTACGTGGCAAAAGGAAAAGTTCCTCATGCAGCAATCTTCAGAGGAATGGAGAGAAAAAAAATTATTCTCTGTGAGCAATTTCACATTAAATTTAAGTCTGGCTGAGCCCTAGAAAATTCTGCCATAGCATTTCCCTTGTTATCATTTTTTAAATGATAAATACCTCGTGCCTCAATATATAAGCCAACAAATTTCTAAATTAAAAAATTGTTTATATAGTTCTCTGATAGGTGTTATTTTTACCCATGCCTGTTATAACAGAGGGAAAATGTCTAAAATTTATATATACTTTTAAATTGGGAAAGAGACAAATTCTAATTTTTATTTATCCTCCCATTCCTAAACCCAAGGTTTCTAATGCCCCTAGGATTAAAAAATTAATAAATACACTTTGTTTTCATATTAAGAATGATACTGGATCGAAGAACTCAAAAGACAGCATAGACACAGAGAAAAGAAAGGATTCTGAGAAATCAGGAGTTCGTCTGAGCACGCAGGTGAGCTGACCTCTTTAGATATGATGAGTGAATTATAGAGTAGAAAGCATAACAGAAAATGTAAGGCAGCAGGGAGTTCTGGGAGAGAAGACTGAGCTGCCGAGATTTCTACTAAGGGAAACCTAATGTTCTCATGAGAGATTAAGGACAGACTAGGAGAAGCTGGTCCCTGCCTTCCCCACCAGTACACATCCCCATGTTCATATAGAATATATGGTGTAGAAACCACAGCCATATTCTCTGCTCAGCCTATGGGAGGAGACTGGTCATTGTTCAAATCAGGGAGGGAAGGGGAGTCTGGCCATCGCATTGACCATTTTCTGCACAATCTTTCAGATGAGGCGTGCAGTCAATCCGAATCACTTGCTGAGATGTTGCCCCATGCGAGGTCACTCGTCGTGTAGACGCTGCCTTTGTGCAGCGGAGGGAACAGTACTTCTTGGCCCCTGCCGCACAATACGTGTTTATATTCACATGTGCCTCTTGTGGGAGCAGGGCCGGCAGATCACCATGATCAGGGTGAGCAGAGATCAAACAACTGATTTCGAAGGGGAGCCACAGGCAGTCTGGGTGAGGGGCAGGATATGGGGAATAAAAACTCTTCCGCTTGCCTCTCCATGGTGTCCTCCATTCTTACTCCTCCCAAAGGAAATGCCACAGTGCTCTATTCCCTCTTCGGTAGCTGCTTTGGAGCCATGCTGCAGCCCCATTTAGGGGGCACCTGCCCTCATCTTTGTAGTAGGGTCAAAAATGGTAAATCACATCTTCTTAGTTTCAGCTAACAGGCTTACCCTTAAGGGAACAAGTGGGGAAAAGGGAGGAAAAATGGTCAACTCTACTATGTTCCATATAAGAGGAGTCACAGGTGAAAAAAATAGGAGACATCAGATTTGTTTCTTAGTTTTGGATTCTCCTCCAGGTGGATCCCCACTGTTTGTCCCTCACAGAGTTTAGGATTGGGCCGGAGCTAGAATAGTACATAAGGATCAAGGTTGAATTAATCATATAGGCCAGGGACCTTCTCACTGGACTCTGCTATATTTAGCTTGACATGGCTGTTCTGTAGGTACATGCATGGCAGGAGTGGGTGATGGGGCATCATACTCCTGGGTCTCTTCTCTCCTCCAAAGGAATCACAAGAATCACCATTGCCGAAGACTGATTCTCGGGGGTACGTTGTGCGAAATCAGTGGTCACGAACTTCACGGAGCCCATCCACCAGAGCTCCATCAGTAGACGAAACCAGAAGCAAGAGTGCCAGTCTTAAGGTAGAGATGGAGATGAAATGAAGGGAACATGATATAATAATGATAACGGCGATGATGATGATGATGATGACGATAATAATTTTTTATTGATGCTTTCTATGTGCCAGGCCCTATTCTATTCATTTTTCATGTTTCAGCGAATTCAGTCATCATTAAAAAAAAACAAACAAACCTATAAGCCCTGTTTTATGGTGGAGAAAATTGAAACACAGAGTAACTTGCCTAAGATCTCACATTAATAACACTAATAGAGCTAGATTAAAACCCAGGGTTACCAGGTCTATAAACTGTACACTTAATGATTACGCTCTTTGACTTCTCCTTCCATCTTTCCTTCCTTCAATAACTGAGTACCGAAGCCTTAGAAGATGGGGTGGAAAAATCAACAAAGGAAATAAGTTGTTGAAAAGTGTTAGATTGTGTGGTGCTTTGGGCCCTTATGGAAGCCTTGTCCCATGAGAAGAAAACATTAGTTTTGAGATTGAGTTTTTGAGTACAGAGAGAGTGACACAGACCTAGATGGAGAATATGTATCCCTACAATCCATCTATTCCTGTTTGAAAAGTGGCTCAATAATCTAACCAAGAATGTCTTTTGAAACACGTGAAACAATCATCAAAATTGAAATAAGATATAGGTGCTTAATAATTTACTGCACAGGTATACTTCCTTTCTAATTAGATGATTCTCTCCAAATGAGCTCCACTGGCACAAAGTTCTGAAGGCAACAGGGAGACCCTTGGTTCTCTAGACTACCAACCCTCCCAGCAATTGCTGCATTAATCACAGGGCAAATAGAGAGAGAGATGCCTCCAGATGTTTTGTAGAGTCTGGTGGTGGGAGCATCTGGTCTAGTCGCTCATAGTTAACTGGAGGTCACAGATGAAGGCAGTGGTGAGCAAGGTCCCTTACTCAAGCCCTCCATCCTACCTGGAGGTCTCTGAATGAGCAGTTAAAATGAAAGCAAGCCACAGAACTTTGGAACTATGTGCCAGCTGCCTAAGGGCAAGAAGACCTGTAATATCTACTCCAAACTAAAACAAAACAAAACAAACAAAAAACAGTGTGAGGTGCTGATGGGATGGGGGGGGGGAGGAAGGAGGGGAAAATAAAAGCAGTCTGTCTCTGTGTCTGTTTAACAGAAATACCTAATAACTGGGTTCTTGAAACATGTGAGCCCCTCCAAGCCCTACTTAAAGGAGCTGGGATGACCGGGATCCAACTGAGGGCTAAAAATGTAACAAAGGGAAGGGCAAGGATCCTTTACTCCTGCCAGGCAGAGATAGGGGGAAAGGCGAGCATCTAACTCAGACTCCCACTTTCTCGCTCCAGCTCCCCGCTAGCTCCACAACCTCCCGGACTTCATCCACCTCCCCCAGCCAGCAAGACTCCCAGAAAGAGCTGTCGGCGCAGCCCTCGCCGCCCACGCCACCCATGCCTCTCGACTCGAGCCCTCCCACTCCCCCGGAGTCCTATTCCCAGTCCCGGCGCAGCAGCAAGATGCAGGAGAATCCAGAAGCCTGGGCTCATGGCATCGCTCGGGACTCCATGCAGCTACGGGAATACCCTCCTCGCACGCCCCCCACCGAATGGAAGTCCTATGCCCAGCGCAGGACGACCTACTCCACCCAGTTGGACCGCGACTGCCTGTCACAACTGCCCCGGCAGCAGCAGCTGGAGGAAGAGGAGGAAGATGATGAGGCCTATTGGGCATCCGTGAGAACTCTGTATGAGAAGACCCCCAGCTGCTCTCGCCCCCGACCGGTGAGTGTGGCCCACCGACCTGGGACCCGGGACTCCCCCTCTCTGCAACCCTACAGCCTGAATCTCCCCCAGCCTTCCTCCTCTCCAATGTGTAGGGAAGTCCTGCCCAGCCTCCTGCTTCTCCTCCCCCTAAACCCCCACCCCTGTAGGTTCAGGAGTTGGAGGGGGGGCGGGTGTTGGATTGTGGAATCTCAGCCCTTTACTGTCTCCAGCATCTCAGTGCTCCAAGCGGACGCCTAGGTGTTTTCTTTCCACCTTTCCACCTTGCCCTGGTATGAGCCCCTTTGCTGATCCCTTCCTTCTGTGTGACTGTCCTCGCATTGGCACCCCTTTTATGCAGCCCAAACCCAAGCATGCCATCACCATCGCTGTGTCATCCCGGGCACTTTTCAACATGGTGGACGGCAGGAAAATCTTCGAGGAAGAGGGTCTAGAAAAGTACATGGAATATCAGCTCACCAATGAGAATGTCATCCTGACCCCAGGGCCTGCATTCCGCTTTGTCAAGGTACTCTCCAAAGCTGTGCTCCTCCTGTCAGAACCCTGGATGGAGACGGAAGGACCCAGGCAGGTCCTTGGGAACTCATCGAGGTTTCTTTATAATTACTGGTCTACCTTTGTAATTCTTGCCCTTTTCAAGTTGACCTCAGGTCAACTTATGCTTTCACAGAGGCTCCTAGACTGGTGAGAAAGGGTCTCCAGTTCTAGATTTGGGATGCTGAGATGGCCCTCAGCCGAGTTCTAATGATGACATGTGTAAGAGACACCTTTGTTCCCTTCCTAGAAGGAGTGGTAACCGGAAATGATAATGAGTTACAATCCCAGCATTAGAAACAAAATGAAATTCAGTTTAGCTGTCCCAAACACAATATCGAGATGATCTTGGTTGGTGCTTAGAGGCATGATTTTAATAGAGAAAGTAAAGTTCTCTGAACTCACACTGAAATGTATAGCACTTGTGATCCCCTATATAACTTAT